GGAAGGTCGAGCGCTGCTTTGAATTTGGAGGGATTGGCATCAATCCTCCTTTTGCTGACTATGAACCCAAGGAATTTCCCTGACTTCACGCCGAAGACACACTTCTTCGGATTCAGCTTCATTTGATGCTTTCTTAAGGTGGCGAAAGTTTCAGCCAGGTCCTTAACATGGTCCTCATGTTTTTTGCTTTTGACGATCGAATCGTCGACATAGACTTCCATGTTTCTGCCCTTTTGATCGGCAAAAACTTGATCCACCAGCCTTTGATAGGTTGCCCCCGCATTTTTCAATCCGAAGGGCATCATTTTGTAATTGTACACCCCAGCGTTCGTGACGAATGTTGTCTTTGCTCGATCGTCGGGGTGCATGAAGATCTGATGATACCCCGAGAATGCGTCCATGAAACTAAGCAAGGCATGGCCACTTGTCGAATCGACTAGCTGATCGATCCTCGGCAAGGGATAGAAATCCTTCGGACAAGCCTTATTTAGGTCCGTGAAGTCAACACACATCCTCCAGGTACCATTGGCCTTCTGAACCATCACCACATTTGCCAGCCATTCTGGATATTGGCAAGGTTCGATGAATCCTGCCTCCAATAATTTTTTGACCTCGGCTGCGATGTCTCGGTTCTTATTGGCGGAGTAATTCCGCTTCTTTTGCTTAACTGGTCGACACGTCGGGTCAACATTAAGCTTATGGGAGATGAGGTCTGAACTTATCCCGGGCATATCAGCTGCCGAGAAAGCAAACACATCTCTGTTGTCCCGAAGGAGCTGAATAAGTTCACAACGGGTGTTCGGATCAAGGTCCATCCCGATTGTTACACATTTCTCAACGTCTCCTTCGGCCAACTCGACTGTTTCAGTCTGTTGGTCCATGTCCATTGCTGATGGACTGGACTCTTCATAATCTGGCATGTTGCCTATGTCAGCAGGTGTCCCTGTCTTTTTGTTCTTCGGCTGGCTCTCTGAGTCTTGCTGTTCAGCTAAAGAGCTAGCCTTTTCCCTTTCGGGCCCTTTACCTCTGGGTTCAGATCCTTGGGCCGAAGCACTTAGGCCTTTCGGCTTTTTTGTGCTTGGCTCTCTTTCTTTTTCTTTCTCCTCCTCATCCTTGTCGTCATCTGGGCAACTACTGGATGGCTTGAGGTAGTTGCACCTTCGGGCGTCCTTTTGGTTGCCCTGTATCCTTTCGGGGAAGCCGGCGTCTGAGACGTAAATCATCAGCTGATGATAAGTTGAGACGGCCCCTTGGATCTCATGAATTATGGGTCTCCCCAAAATCACGTTGTACACTAAAGGAGCGTCAATGACCAAAAATTCAATCATGACGTTCCTGGCTGCCTCATCGCTGCCGATGGTGATAGGAAGTGTCACCTTCCCATCTGGATAAGTTGAAGCCCCGTTGAACCCAGATACCGGGTAGGGTACCGGCGTAAGGTGCTTGGGCTTCAGCTTGATTTAATTGTAGGCCTTTCGGAACAGAATGTTTGCTCCGCTGCCACCGTCAACAAGGACCTTACTGACGTCGTGGTTGGCCACCGTGGCGATGATCACCAACGGATCCTCGTGAGGGAACGTTATCCCCCGGCAGTCGGCGGCTGTGAACGTCATGTTCGGCACCGGCGATTGGGGAGACTGAATGTCAGCGTTGTTCACCTGGTGAGTCAAAGCCCTAAGGTGTCACTTGTGCTCCCTTCGAGAGCATATTCCTCCCGAGATAACATTGATCGGAGAGAATTTCCCCTCCGGCTTTTTACTGTTCTTCCGGGGGAAGTCGAGGTCTTGCCGAGAGTCCTTTGCTGACTTCTCGGACTCTTTTTTCTCGCGGTGATCCGCGATGTATTTTTTCAAGTATCCCTTCCGGACCATGTCCTCTATCTGGTCCTTCAGTTGGATACACTCCTCAGTGTTGTGTCTCGGAGACTCATGGAACTCGCACCACTGATTTTTATTTTTTCGCTGATACCACTCTGGGAGTGGTCTCGGCTTTCGGTAACTCTGCTCCTCCTTCGTCACGCTGTAAATTTTGGCGCGTGGAAGAGAGAGCGGAGTGTAGGACTCGTATCTGCCTGTGCATGAGGCAGATTTTTCCTTCTTCGGGTCGCTGGCCGAAGATTACTCCGAGGCCTTTGACTTTCCCATTGCCTTATGGCCTTGGCCTTCAGACAAGGGTATTTGTCTTTGTTTCCCTCCCCCGAATTGAGGTTGGGTTTTCGCTTTGTTCCATTCTTCGGCTCGGATGAACTTATCCGAGGCATTCAGATCTTCCTCCAAGGTCTGCGGGGTATGCATGACCATGAAGTCTAGGAACTTCCCGGCCTGAAGGCCATTCTGCATTGCAAAAACGGCTAGCCCCTGGTCCAGCTGAGAGACGCTGGATGACTCGTTACTGAAACGGGTCAGATAGTCTCGGAGGCTTTCGGTTTCCCCCTGTTGCAGACTCATGAGTTCTGCAGTAGTCTTCTCTCGGCGGTTTGCCGTGGAAAACTTGCTCCTAAATTTGGAGGACAGATCATCCCACCCTGTTATGGAGCCTTGCTTTACTCCCTTGGAGATCCACGCTTGCGCGACCCCCTTGAGAGTGGTTGGGAAATATTTGCACCAAGTCGCTTCGGATCTGGGGCAAAGATGCATATGAGTCTCATATGAGGCCACGTGGTCCTTCGGATCCGAGGTCCCGTCATATGTGATGTGCGACGATATTTTAACCGTGGGCACGTGCTCTTCCAATATCCATTGCTCGAATGGCGAACTGGCGGGTAGCATAACGGCCTTGCCCTTGTTCCTGGCCGAAGGGACCGCGCTCCGCCCTCTTAGAGAGGTAGGAGTGGTTTTCGTCCCTGGCTGGGAAGTCTGGGCCTCGGCCGCAGGGAACGAGAGGCGACTGCGCACGCTCGGTTCCTTGCCGCCGAGTCGGTCGAGGACGCTTCGGCGAACAGTCTCAGGTTCTCAGTGAGTAGATTCTGGCCGAGAAGCTGAGCTGCTGCTCTTATGCGTTTCTGGTCGGGAGGATGAGGATCCTTTTAAAAGTTGAGGGTTCTTTTTCCTCTCTTTTTCATTTTTCCAGGTATCCTCTTCCCACTCTTCAAGTTCCCGGAAGGAAGGAAGCTTCCCACCATCATGGTCTAGCTTCCTCCGCTGATGCCGGGTATGCGGAGGAGTTCGATCACGAGGTGGTGGCATATTTTGTGCCCTCATCGCCTCCATGAGCACTGCCAGCGCTCTTGCCACCTCCTCCGAGCTGGGCCCCGTCAAAGGGGTCCTCGGCTGAGTATGGGAATGAGGGCGCACAGTCGATGGTTGGCTTTGGGGCACTGAATGTGTCCTATGATCGGACTCACCCCTGCTAGACTGAGAGTGACTCGGCCTATGATGAGAGTCATGAATTACGGGAGAAAGGGAATCTTCCCTGTATGATCCTCCCCCCGAGCTGGCACCCTTGGGAGAGTTCCGGTCCGGCGAGGGTGATGGTGTATGGGTTTTAGGCTTTTCGCCCGCTCCTTGACGGAGGCCTTTGCTCTTGCGGTTCTTAGCCATTGCTACTAAGATAATTGCAAGATGATCTAGGTTAGAAATTTGGCTTAAAGATTTTTGAAAGTCTTCCCCACAGACGACGCCAAATTGTTTCGGGTGAAAACAATGGGACCTTGCCGAAGGGCCGATGAAACGAAGAAGACTAGATTCGGTCCAAGTAATGTTGGGCCGAAGGTTTCCTGCACAGTAAACACACGTAAACTAGCCTCGGAGGTGTTGCCGAGGAAGGCCCCTCCGATGCTAAAGTCAGTACAGTGTGTAGAAAGAGAACACTATGCAAGAGAATTAGTTGCTTGAGGTTTTGCTTGAATGAATGTACAAATGTAATATTGATGGCTTTTATACCTCTTCATACATGAAGAAGTTGGGCCTTAGCCCAATTGGCTTGCCTTGAGGACTGATCTTTGACTTTAGCACAACTGGAGAGATGAACCTTGACCTTGGGCTTTTAATTCCTAAACCCAATTGGACTAAATTGGACCCAAACAATATTTAACCAAGTTTATATCGATTATGTTCGTTATGCATTGGATTAGTTGGAAATTTTGTGACATCAATTGAATTGATCTTAATTTACCCCAATCTAGGAAATTTTCTCAATAATCAACCACCACAAAAGGAAAAAATCAACCATTCCATTAATATACAAAGATTATAGCTGACACTTATCCGAAATTTTCTTCAAGTTTATCTTTTTTACTTTTGGTGAAATTCTAGTTTGTAAGAAAATTAGTCGATTATGCAAATTAAGACGAAGATCTTAATAGAACAAACAAACAAAAAAAAATAAATAAATAAATAAATAAAAAATAAAAAAATTATACAGAGTGAAAATGAACCACAAGGGACAAACCATCGTAATAACTATACAAAGCCATATAAAATTTAAATTGAAATCCAAGAATAAGCTCATTCAAAAAGTTAAATATTGAAATTTTTGAAAAAGTTATATTATGGAGTAATGAACTTATTAGTTCATAAACATAATAAAACAAATTAGTTCTAGTTCAAGCTCAAGCTATCTTTGAGATTCATGTCTAATATACAAACTTACAGCAAAGAACAATATTGAAAGAAGTATATTGGAAATACAATAGATTTGTAGGGTGAACATGTAATAATCTATCTATTACATAATACTAAAAGCGAATCTAGGAGGACACTTTTGCAAAACACTATTAAAAATTTTCCCTTCAAAAAAAAATTTCTTTAAAATATTACATACGAGTATTTAAATACTTTATCTCATATTGTATGTTTTTATTGTTTTAATATATTTCATGCATTTTAATACCTAGTGAATCAGTTCATTATATTTATATTCTTTTAAATATTATATTGTCATTATAATTATTTAATACTCGTGCATTGCACGGGATTTAACCTAATTTTATATTAAAAAACATATTTATATTTTGCTTGACCAGCTAGCCAATTATGATTTTGAAAACTTGGATTTTCGGTTCAACTTGAGCAAAGAACTTGTACTGTTATCATTTTTTTTTTTCCAATGAAAAGAGCTCGAAAACATCTCGAGTTGTCAAGGAAGATTATAGGGTCACCTATGGCCATTCGGCAACATTTATAGCAAGCGAGCATTAAATAGTTACAGAGGCCTATAGCAACCCTCATTAGTCCTACCAGCTTGAATGAGAGTACTCAGCTTACGCTTATTTACACTGTCGTAAACAATAAACATAGTACATTCTAAGAGCATATTTAGCCTATTGTTCATACAATGAATTCCTCCAACAATTCACCAATCTATACCTAGTTCCTTCGAGAGGAACAACTTGTCAATGTATCCAATCACAGCATCCGAAGAAGTAATGTAGCTTTGCATTTGGATGCGGGCAGAGTCCTCTGTAAAGAAACCAATAAACAAGTAGAATATAAGCATCTGATAACAAACTAGACAATACAACATACAAGTTCCTTAAAATGTTCCTCTTACTTTAAAAAGCAAGGGCACATGCATATTAAATAGAATACGCCAAACTGATACTAAACTACTATGAGATGGCAATAAATTGATACATAGGACTAGGAGAGCATGTCACTGTGAGTTCTGAGAAGCATTCGGCTCAGGTGAGACAAAAATCAGGCCAGAGAGCTTCAAACGACCAATATAAAGCAAATGACTAATTACACAACTTCAACATAATATTTGAATCCTAAATTTATTTCATCGAACATACAGTTTAGCTATATGGATGCTAGCCCACCCCCCCACCTCTCTCTCTCTCTCTCTCACACACACACACACATCCTACTGAAACTCATCCAAGACACAAGATCTCTCTAAGATTTTAGAGCCCATATTTTCTTCTAAAAGAATTCACTTTGAAGCAAATCATTTCAACAAGGGAATATTTTAAGGGGATCTATTCTAGAGAATGGGGATCAGACATAATTACTAAGCATTCACTAATCCATTACTTCCATGCACATGAATCACAATATGAATGTATTAGTCAAGTAAAACTAATGACAAAGGTGCACCCACCATCCTCATTCAGCTTCTTCATCAACTGCGGCCTAGTAGGCAACGCATACATCCCTGCACCAACAGCTTTTCTAATAGCCCATCCATGATATGGAGCAAAGACTTGGGTGTAAGAATTAGAAGCAGCATCCTTCAAAGAATTTCCCCTGAAGATATAAAGACAGACTGTTTCAGTTATTCATATTCCAACAAAATTATGCTCAGCCTAGATCATATTTCCATTTCATAACTATTGAAAGAAGAAATAGAAGCTAAAATATCATGTGAAAAATTAAGCAGAAATCGCAAACATGACATGAAGAGACCGACAAAACTTACAAATTCAGCAGAAGATCAAGTTATCAGTGTAACTGGCTGAACAAGCCATTCAATGAATGAATCTACGTTCTTCATTCCATGGTCATTCTATGTAAACAAAATGACTGCCAAGCCAGCAACTAATTACAAGCTATAGCCAAAACACTAGATACAGGCCCATAGTCAAACTATTGACTACTTCCCTATTCAAAACTTCAGCCAAAATTAATCCAAACCACCAGTACGCCAACTAATAGACCATAATAGTTCTTGTACTCAATCCATTTGTTCAACTTGTAAACGGCCAGACCACATATAAAGCTTTGGAGGATTAATGGATTACTGTTCTCATAAACAAATTCTTCTGCCCAAAAAAATTGAGCTGTTTGCTATCTCAACATGTAATAGTTCAAAGAAACTAAACTTCTTCAACATTCTGAGAGGATTATTAGTTGGCAAAGCCGCAAAGATACTGGATTGAAACTTGAAAGAATTAGCCTCATTAACAGGCAGAACAAGTCAATGAATTATCTTAAAATTGTGTTGTTTAAAAAGGAAACAATCATCCACAGCTGGAGCAAATAATAAAAAACAAGTCAAATCTTTAAAGCGGGAACAATTTCTTGCAAGTCTTCATCACCTTGTACAACATAGTGTTCTGCAATTCAGAGGACTATGAGATTCACTAAAATTTGTAAAAACAGGCTATATTGCTATACCATCAATCCAAATTACTAGCATATTTTTCATGATTCTCACAGCCAAAAACCTAACACTCTCACTGGACTAACCTTCAAGCTTTAACCACGTAAAAGCACTCCCACAAATGGAAGAAAGCCAACAAATGGTTCTATAGTCAACATTCACTCCATGACATTAGACCTAGCAAAGTTAATCATAAGCCTAACGATGACCATCAAAATAAAAATCACACTGTGCTATAATTTGAATGAACATAGGGTTTGTGAGGTTAGTAAAAAACAAAAGACAGGCTCTTCACAACCCACCCAAACTATCAATCAAAGCCTTAATCCCATAAGTGGGGTCAGCTACATGAACCAAATTTGATTATTTCGTTTAGTCATCGACATAAATCTTCCTCCTCCATCCCTTACGATCCAATGCTTCATCCTCATGCAAATCCATATACTTCATATCCTTCACAACTCCTTCCAACCAAGTCATTTTCGGTCTGCCTCTCTCTCGTTTAACCCCTCCATGTTCCCACTCTTCAACTCTTTGAACCGGTGCACCCTAGGGTCTCCGTCTTACATGCCCAAACCAACGCAGGAAATTGTCCCTTAGTTTGTCTACAATGTCTGCCACACCTATTTTCTTGCGAACAACCCACCCAAACTACAATGACAAAATTTCTACAACCCAAATCTGCAACATGGAAAAGAAGCAACAAAATGTTGTTTAAGTCAGCATCACTCCATTACTCAAGTTGAAATCCTCTCCAATGACATCATTGACTAAATTTAGCAAAGCCAGTTGCTTATAAAAATGAATATAAGACATTGGATTTGTTTCTTTATTAAAATTGGAGGTATATTTCCTTACTACCCATAGTTACACATTATGTAACACCACACCCACCACTAATTAAATAGAGGTTAGGATAAAACAAATTTTCTAAAGCACCAGACCATCATAATTTGACGTAGAAGTACAACAAAAGATTTGACCAACAGCCTAAGCCATACAGAACCATTACTTTTTCATTCCAATGCTTATGGAGCGGATGTGCTCTTAGCATGATCCTTCATCATTTCCATCTAACGCATCCACCAACTTCTGAGCAATATGTTACTCCTCCGGTCCTCCCCCAGACATGATGTGCTTTTCCTTCAACCTTTAGCTACAAACTCATCCACTAGCCAATTAGCTACCAGTTACACTTTCCAAAAAGATGATGTGATAAAGTAGACAATAACACATTCTTATTCACTCTTGTAACATCACATACCCAAACCCAGTATAAATTCCAATTTATGTGTATAAAAATACAGAACAAAAAGTGCACACAGCTGGCAGACAGGTTGTCATCAAAACAACAGCAAAAAAATTTAAGACAACTAATTCCTTTAAACTCTGACAGGAATAGCAAAGCACATGAAGGAAAGACTCGAAAATGGTAGTGAGTCATAGTTTTCACATAACAAGAAATCCAGTAAAATTAGAGCCTCCACCCAACATACTTAGCTCCATGATTTCCCAAAGCAGATCCGATCTCATTAAATTGTCCAATCTTCTGTCCCACTTCCACAGCTATGACACATGGACTTGAAAGTGTGGGTTAAGTTGCTAAATATACCCTAAAACTTGTATGACAAAGATTACAAGAAAAACCTAGTGAATACTAAGAGATTTTTCAATGCAGGTGCTAATTAACTCAAGGCCACCACGAGCCTTTACGTGACCAACTAATGATCATATACAGCTTTAAAAAATATTATATGACCTCGGGATGCATCCCTTGCAATCCTAATAGTTTCGACACCGAGTCTCGAAACTTTTGAAATTCATCTAATTTCATGTATGCCTTTACTTTTAAACAATTTTATTACCTATTTAAACTCGGAAAGATAAGAGGATGAAATTCTTTCCCATAAACACCACGAGGCCATTTGGATGGTTGGAACTATCCACTTTACCTTTAAATAGTCAATTTAACCGTTTATGTATACGCATCCTCTAAATGACTCAAGACCACCACGGGCTTTTATGTGACCGACTAATAACTTCAAATGATTCCTAACAACATTATACGACCCTAAAATGTTTCCTCTACAATCTTAAGATTTTTCAACACATTAGTCCAATTTCGTGTATTAAAGCCTTCAAATTAGGCTTCTAGAAAACATTTTAAATCCCAACAAGATTATGCATCGTGATTATTCTTGAAGTTCCAAAGAGCCCTGGGAAGGCCTACTTGGTTCTCGAAACCATCTCATTCATGCCTTAGCTCACCCTATGTTATCATGTCTTGAAGCCTTGTGAATGCTTTGTCTTGGCCTTGAGAAAAATGGAAGTGCATAAAAGGGAGGGGAAGGATAGAGGAGAGATAGGGAAGTGAGGAGTAAAGAGAAAAATAGAGCATACCCTCCTTAAAAAAACAGTTTTCCTTCTCTTAAAAAACCCCACCTATAGGAAAATTGCTTTCCACCCTTTCTTATACATAAAGGAAGACGGGAAATGAAGGAAAATCACTTTCAAGAAAAATGTTTTCCACCAAAACAAACGGAGCCTATGGAATTTCAAAATTTTCTCCTCCTTCCCAAAGTCATAGAAAAACTGGCCTTTGGCCTGACAGCTAATAAGAACAGCCATCATAAATACAAAGTTCAAGAGCAAGTGGTTGTATGCCTGACAATCTCCAAAATCTCCTTCAAACCAAGGACAGAAGACAAATGATACTAACCAATCTTGGAGGCCAAAGCTTTATCTTCGGGAGTTTCTCCCCGAAGCTTGAAAGCTAGGATGGGGTCCATCCAACTAGGCTCTGGGTCAGCGCAGCACACTTCAGGTGCTTCGTCGACACTTCTCTCTCGACGCACTTCTACATATACAGATCTGTTCAGCTCGGTAAGAGATGAACTGGCAAGTTTGGAGAGTGCATCGGCTTGAGTATTCTGACCCCTTGGGATCAGCTGAACCTCAAAAGTTTTCAGCTCTGCAATGACTGACTTGGTCTTGGCAATATAAGCTATCATGGAGGGCTCTTTGGCCTCGTAGCTGCCGCTAATCTGATTTGCAACTAGCTGAGAGTCTGTTTTCAGGCAGACATGATCGGCTTCCAGGGAGATGCACAATTCTAGGCCGGCGATTGCTGCCTCATATTCGGCTTCGTTGTTTGAGGCTTTAAAAGAAAATTTTAGTGCATACTCAAAGGATTTGCCTTCGGGAGAAGTTATCACTACTCCTGCCCCCGAACCGTTTTCTGTGGAAGATCCATCCGTAAACACGGTCCAGAATTTCTTTTCATTGTCTAGCGCTTCTTGGTATGAGCATTCGGTCAAGAAATCCGCTAGAGCTTGAGCCTTAATGGCAGCCCTCGGACGGTAGCTGATGCTGAATTCGGTGAGCTCAAAAGCCCACTTGGCTAGCCTACCAGATTTTTCAACCTTGCCGAGAACTTTTTCCAACGGCTGATCAGTTAAGATCACTATCTGATGGCAATCAAAATAGGGCCTCAGCTTCCGAGCAGCTACTACTACCGCGAAAGCGACTTTCTCGAGTAGAGGGTAGCGAGTCTCGGCATTCGTCAGTGTATGACTGACAAAGTAGATCGGTTGCTGACTTTTACTTTCTTCCTTCAGCAGTACTGCGTTGATGGTGGCTGGGCTAACGGCCACATACAGGTACAAAGTTTCTCCTTCTGCTGGGCTAGCCAGCGTTGGGAGTTGAGCCAGATGCTCCCGAAGCTGTTTAAAGGCGTCTTTTTGCTCTTCCTCCCAAACGAGCTCTTTTTTTTTCGGGAGTTTCAGGGCTTTGAAGAAAGGTAACCCCTTATCCGAAGCTCTGGAAATGAACCTCGAGAGGGCTTCCATTCTTCCGGTGAGCCGTTGAACATCCCGCTTTGTTTTCGGCTCAGGAAGGTCGAGCGCTGCTTTGAATTTGGAGGGATTGGCATCAATCCTCCTTTTGCTGACTATGAACCCAAGGAATTTCCCTGACTTCACGCCGAAGACACACTTCTTCGGATTCAGCTTCATTTGATGCTTTCTTAAGGTGGCGAAAGTTTCAGCCAGGTCCTTAACATGGTCCTCATGTTTTTTGCTTTTGACGATCGAATCGTCGACATAGACTTCCATGTTTCTGCCCTTTTGATCGGCAAAAACTTGATCCACCAGCCTTTGATAGGTTGCCCCCGCATTTTTCAATCCGAAGGGCATCATTTTGTAATTGTACACCCCAGCGTTCGTGACGAATGTTGTCTTTGCTCGATCGTCGG